CACCATGTCCACACCCTTCACGACAGCCCTCCTCGCCGGCGGCCTCGCAGGCACAACAGTCGACCTCTCGCTCTTCCCCCTCGACACCCTCAAGACCCGCCTCCAGTCGCGCGCCGGCTTCTTCCCCTCGGGCGGCTTCACAGGCATCTACCGCGGCGTCGGCTCCGCCATCGTCGGCTCCTCCCCGGGCGCCGCCTTCTTCTTCTGCACCTACGAGGCCGCCAAGGCGCGCCTCACCGACCCCGCCCGCACCGGCGCCGGTGGTGCGCTGCCCGCCCCCGCCGCCCACATGGTGGCCGCCTCCCTCGGCGAGGTCGCCGCCTGCGCCGTCCGCGTGCCGACAGAGGTCGTCAAGCAGCGCGCCCAGGCCGGGCGCCACCCGTCCTCGGCCAGCGCCCTCGCCTCCATCCTCGCCCTGCGCGCCGACCGCGGTCTCGTCGGCGTCTGGCGCGAGCTCTACCGCGGCTGGGGCATCACCGTCATGCGCGAGGTGCCCTTCACCATCATCCAGTTCCCCCTGTGGGAGCGCCTCAAGGCCTGGGGCCGCGCCCGCAAGCACCGTGCTGCTGCTGCTGCTGCCGCCGCCGGGGGAAACGCCGACGACCTGGCCGTCGTGGCCGACGTCGGCGCCGTCGAGAGCGCCCTCTACGGCAGCGCCGCCGGTGCCGTGGCCGCCGGCCTGACGACGCCGCTCGACGTGCTCAAGACGAGGGTCATGCTGTCCGAGCAAAAAGTTAGGGTCGCCGACGTCTTGCGGAGCGTTTGGCGCGAGGAGGGCTGGAGGGCCTTCTTTGCCGGCACCGTGCCGCGCATCACCTGGATCAGCATCGGCGGCGCCATCTTCCTGGGCAGCTACCAGTTTGTCGTCAACACGTTGCAGACCTCGCGCGACAACAAGGAGAGGCGCCTAGCCGAGGGAGTTCTGTGAGGACAGGGAACGCAAGGTCGAACACATCAGACATAGTATAAAGGAGCACGAGAGGGTGGCCGTCATCCCTCAAAACACGGCAGCACATGGCCTTGATGAGCTCTGATGGTAGCGGTATCCCATGCTACGACGGCGACGTATGTACACTACTCATTAGAGGAAACGGAATACCCCCTAGGATATATATAGAAGTATAGAGACACCAGGAAACACCTCGACGCTGCACCACAGCACCGCCACCTGCAACCCATACTAGGTTCGCTGCCCGGGCTCGGCAAGGCACATGACCCATGTCGTCACTTCTTCTATGCCGCTGCCGTCGTAGGCGCCGTTGTCGTCGCTGCCGGAGTGGTAGTGGGGGCCGGCGTCAACGGGACGGCAGACCCGTCCGCTCCGTCGACACCGGTCTCGGCTGGCGCCGCCTCTGGCTCGACTGGTGCCGCTGCCTGTGGTGTCGGGATGGGATTCTCAATCACCTTGCGACCGTTCGCCTTGTAGTGCAGCGTAATGTCGTTACCACCCTTCCATACGTGTGCACGTAGCGTGGCCAGCGTCATTGTGTTGGGTAGTTTCTATGTTCGGTTAGCGCCCTTCTCCAACCCATGCAATGTGTGTGTCAGACTCACCATGTCGTTGCAGTACAACTCGAGGTACTCATCCGGCCTGAGCGCATTCGGGTCGGGCTCTGTCACAGGCGGCTCGATCCTCTCTGCGATGTACGACAGAATCTTCTTGACGCGCAGCATCCTGTTGGCGTTCAGGCGGTTGTTGCCATCCGTGGCCGCCAGGTCGGGAAGCGAGTTCTCCCACGGCACCAACACAAACGACACCTTGACCGGGTCTTTCGGCGGGATCTGGTTCTGCAGGAGCACCTCTCCCAGCCACATGGGACCACGCTGCTCAATGACATCCACATCCTGGCCGACCGTCTCGACCGTGCCCTGATACAAGTTGGCGCTCGAGCCAGACGTCTCCTCCTGAATGAATACTTTGGTCCCAGAAGGCAGCTTGAGGACGGGTGTATCGTTGTACAGACTGGGCGTGATGCCCGTTTCAACAATCTTGTCGGGGTTGTCGGTGAGTTGCTTTTCATATTCGTTACGAATGCGCTGAATGACACCGAGGAAGCTGTCGTCGACTTCCTTCTCGTGTGTTGACGACGACTCAGACTCCTCTGCCTTTTCATCCACAACTGCAGGCTTCTCTGTGCTGGTCGATGCCGAGCGGCCAATCTTCTTGCTTCCAAACGACATGCTGCCCATGCCCATGCGGAACTTCTTTTTGCCGAACGGTGTGCTGGGTGCCTTGCCGTTCGCGTCCTTCTCCTTTTCTTTTTCTTTACCATTCTCGGCGCCGGGCGATTTGACATCACTCGCTGCGGGCTCTGATGGCGTTGCGGGTGTCTGTCCACCCTTTGAGGCGCCGTCGGCCGGTGCGATAGTGCTGGAGAAGTAGTCTCCGTTTTCCGCCGAAGTGCGGTTGGCATGCGACGTCCTCTTCTCCAAGGGGCTTGCCGGTGTAGCTGCGCCCTCCGGGACATCTTGCAGACGGGCACCAGGGGTCGCCATGCCGATGGCAAGACCAGGGGTCGGCGCCCACTGCGCGCCATTAGCACGCGGTGTCGTTGCAGATCCCGGGCCCTCGGCCCCCCCGAATGTATTGGTCGGCATCTCGATCGAGGTGGGCGGGGCCACTCGGCGGGCAGCAGCGATCCTCTTCTCAACCGCCTCGTTGAGAGCTGCGCGGTGGATCTCATCCTTTTTGATCTCCTCGTCAATGACATTGGCGAACAAGTATCGAAGAATCCACTTTCCAAGGTTGACTGCAGTCTGTTAGCACAAGTCGTTGCGTGATGGTGGGTGCCTGACTGACTTCGTTGATCATCCCGGAAGTCGACCGCCTCGCCTGGCGCCAGGTCGTCGGCGTACATCTCGGCGTCGAAGCAGTTGAAAGGTTCGAGCACAACCGTGAGGCTGCCGGAACTCGTATCTATAGAACACCAGGGGGCAACAGCTTCACGCGTGTTGACTTCGGGCTCGACGTCCTCTAGATGCCGCTTTCCGTAGCTCTGGATAACCTCGCACTACATAAGACGTTAGCGGACCTGGCTGTGAGAAGCACGTCATGGGTGTACAAACCCGGATCAGATCCCAAAGGAGCACATCGCCAGCAGTATCTAGCGTCAACACTCTTCTCCTGTCGTTCAGGAGCTTGTGCTTCACCAGGCCGAACTGGCCCTCGATGGTTTCTTGTGGAAGGTGGAACAGGGGCTCGGGCCCATAAGATGTCGAGTCGGGCACAATTTCAGACCCCTTCCTCGCTGCGGCATTGCCGCCAATCGCCGCATCGGGGTCTCGAGCGACGTGCTTCGGGAACGTAGCCGTGTTGGAGATTTTGAGGATCGATTTCACTGGAATTTCTTTATTTTCTTCCTTCTTGTCTGTAGACTCGGTAGCTGGTGGGGGTGACACTTGTCTGGGCCGTGCTGTGGATCCAGAGGCTGACCGGTGTCGACGGTAAGCCTCGGGCAGCTTGATGTCTGACGACGTGTCGACATCGGGCCACTTGTTGATGGATGATGTAGATGTGGCTGTCCAGATGTAGCCGTCGGCAGCCAAAATCTTGCTAATGTTGCCATGCTCTTGCGCAATGGCAAGTGACAGGCCGTCGTCCATGTCCTCGAGCGTGCCTCGCACATCAGTCTTGGCTACCATTCCAGAACGGTCACTGCTGTAGAATATGCCCAATGTCGGGTCGTCCGAGTAGAGCGACCAAACACTATCGTTGTGCATGGTAAAGGTGTACATGCAACGACCAGCAGTGATGCTCCAGAGCTTGATTGTCGAATCGGAACTGGACGTCATGACGGTGTCGCCGGCCTCGTTGAGCAGGATGGAGCGCACATTGTCCGTGTGGCCGACAAACTTGGTGACGGCGTCGCCGGTCCTGGGATCCCACAAGCGCACGCTGGACTCGGGACCACCACTGGCGATGATACGAGGTGCGACGCTCAGGGCGTAGATGGAGCCCTTCTCGGCAACCTCGCCCTTGTTGTCGATTTCGAGAGTCTTGCCGCCGCCGTTCAGGTCCCAGAGACAAATCTTGCGGTCGAGGCCGCCGGAAGCGACCCAGTTGGCCGACGGATCGTGGGGCGGGGTGGCGACGCACTTGACGTAATCGGCATGCTCACCAATGGTGATAGCATCTTTCTGGGTCTCAGAGTGCGGGCGCCAGACCTTGACGGTCAGATCGGACGAGGCAGATACGAGTGCCGTGTTGTTCTGGGCGAGGACAATGTCGTTGATCCAGTGCGTATGGGCCTGAGTTTGAGCGCGGAACTTGGTGGAAGATTTGGGCTTGGTGCTGTCGGTAGTCGCGAGGCTAGCTGCGCCAGCCTTCATGTCGAGGAGATCCCAGGCGCAAACGACGCCATCTCGTCCGCCGGAATAACTGCAAGGTGGCACGGTCAGCAAGCGCAAAGACGTCGGGGGGTGCAGAGAGTGTGGCGGAAGGCCTACAGAATGGCATTGGTCTTGTCAATGGCGAGTCCGTTGACGCCAAGTCGGTGGCCACCGGGCTGGGAGTTGGGAAGCTCGAGGACTGCGCGTGCGGGCACAACAGGTCAGTATGGCGATGAGCAAGGTGTATTGGGGCTTGCCTCGGAGCCCGTCGGTGCGTGCTTGATCGTTCTGGCTCGTCGCGTGTCCGTCCCTGGCTGTGTCGTGCGGGGTTGGGTGTTGTCGCAAGCCGCGACAGGCATGGAAGAGGCAATCCGCAACACAGCAGACGGGAGAAGGGGAGCGTACCATAGCTGATCCTCTGGCGAGCCTTTTTCGCTGCCATTGTGAAGGGGTTGGAGGGGGAGAAGCGTGTGCTATTGCGATATCATGTGGTGACGCCGTGGGCAGAGGTTGCTGTCGTGGGGTAGCAGCTCTGAAGCGGTGCCAATGCTGAATGGGAGAAGGTCACCCGAGGAAGAGGAGGAGTTACTCGAAGCTGCTCTCCAGGCAAGTTTGTTGGGTCTCGTCAGGACAGGACCTTGTCAGGACAGGACTTAGCCGATAAGCAACGCCGCACGCACTGCATCTGCAACTCCGATGATGGTGGGCGGTGGTGCTTGGCTTGGCCTGGCCTTGGCCTGGCTGGACTTGCTCGACCCGGCGGGCCATGGGCATGCGTACCTGGCGCCGCGCTAGCTTGCGCCTGCCCCCTCGTCCCCCTCTCACCAGGACCAGGTGGAAGGTGCATCCTGCGCAGGAGCAGCAGGAGGCACCCAGCGCCCGGCAGGGGTTCGAGGGAAATCGGCCCCCTTCCCCCTGGGCGCTAACCTCTATTCATTGAGCCCCGCATTTCTGATTCGACAGAGGGCCTGTCAGTGGGGTTCTGGCCTGGGGAAGACGGGGGCCGCTAGATCTTTTTGGAAGCCACACTGCAGCAGCTTGTTCATATTCCACGGCGGCTTTTTGCAGGCGTCTGTCCAGTCGTCGCTTCTTCAACCAACCCCAGGCAACCATGCCACGAACTGGTCATGACCAGGAAGCGACGGCCTCACTCCGTCTCACTGTCAGCTGACGATGGCACTCTTTGCTGTACAACAAGGCGACATTGGAATAAGGAAGGTACTAAGGAAGGTATCTAGCTAACACTTGACGACGAGCTGCTGTGTTGCCCCGCAAGTCAACTTCGCAGGCTGGACATGGAACATGAGGATGCACTAACCGAGCAAGGCTGCATCCACGAGCATAGATGCTTGCTGCTTCAGTTGGCCACGAATCCGCCGTGTCTGCATTGGACGAGTTCCTTAACTCTTAAGCACGCGGCGCAGCAGAGCATACTATGCTGCCAGATGCTTCGGTGATTCGGCCCCTGGTCATCGAAGCGATCATGATAGTGCTTTTCCATTGGTGCCTGTCTCAATCCGTCCTTGACGCAGCTTCTCACTGCACACTGTCCCAGCTTCATGCCTCAAAAGGCGTATGGCTCAGATGCTAAGCTTACTCACGGAAGCCCCATATCATCAACCTCCGATATCTCAGCTCGCGCACCACGTTGTGGGCAAATCTTTCCAACTACCTCGTCACATCTTCCTGATTCGAAAGTCAGCCATTCGACGGCTCATCCGCCAGCCATCTGTCAAGGGATCAGCCCAATTTCCAGCCGACGATGTCTCTTCGTTTGGCCTTACAACGCTTCGCTTATCAATCTGCTGCGTGCCGTTGCCTTCCTTGACAGTGTTGCCCTCTCTCGGAACGACGACCGACGATGGCGCTTCCACAGCACCTATGAACCCTTCTGGATCTGAACTGATCTTTCCTTGCAGATCCCATTGTTCAGGGGCCATCCTCACGGCTCCGCTATGCCAGCCTTGTGAACCTCACACCTTCAGCCTAGCAAGTATATCCTCAAACCCGGCGATGCTCGTCCTCACATCCGTCAGCGTGTTGTCTCTACGCCTTCCCTTCTGCCCTACTCCGGTCGTCAGTGAATGCTCTGCCGCTCAAACAGAATGACCATCGAACCTCGCTTCTCGCGCGCCTTCCGCACACAGGCCTGGCAAGTCCCCTCCACAGGCCGCGTCGCATTCCTCAACTCGCCGGTGCACATGGCCAGCTGCGACTCGCTCGGCGGAGACGCAGGGAGGTGCTTCGTGTGGTGCAGAGTGAGGTCGCGCGTCGGGTGGCCGAGGTTGTGGCCGCGAGCGGAACGGCAGGGGAAGGTGTTTTGATACTGATGGTGATCGCAGGAGATGTGCAGCGTATAAATCTGGATGCACATTTTGCGTGCTCTGGCCTGAGAGTGGCTTCTCACGATGTTGATGTCGCCAGCGAGAGTCTGCTGGCTATGTATTCTACCAATGTCGATGCGTCAGGGCGTAGGAAAGGGGTCGTGGCAGTAGAACTGGTGAGGACGCAGGAAACCGTATGAGCCGAAAGGCTGGTCCTGTGGCATGGATTATATCGGGCCCTGCCAGAAGGCAGGTGCGGTTGAAGGTCGCTGTATTCATCCTCCTTGATGCATTGTAATAAAAGACAATCATGAAGACGAGATGACCAACACCGGACACCACGACAGCGGACAAAGCACACATACACACAAAGCACGCCCAGCAGCAGAACAACAAAAAGCCGACAAAGCTCAGAAAGCACCAGGCAGCGGCAGCTAATCTTGAACGTCGTACAGGTCCCGAAATCCCAACAGGTTCTGTCAAAAAACAGTTGTTCTAAAACGCCATGCTGACCGAACACCTCAGAAAGTACAAGTGTGTTGTTTTTTTCACCCATCCTCCTCCCCTTAGATTGCCCCCTTCGCCCTCGCCTATCGATTCTGGCTCCGCCCCTTGCCTTGGGTATCCTCACCTCAGCCGGACCGGCCCTTCTGCCTGAAGCGGTCATTCTGCCTCGGCTGGCTGCCGTACGTCCTCCTGCCCTGGACCTTCTTGTCCCGCCCGCTGGCGCCGACCGTGACGTCGACGCGCGGGGGGACGGCAAAGCCGAAGCTCTTGGCGAGCTTGGCGAGGTCGAGCTTGTTTATGTCGTAGACGGAGCGCAGCGAGTGGCTCGCGTAGGCGTGCAGGTAGCTGCGGTAGCCGTCCTTGGCCGACTTGTTGAGGTAGTAGTTCTGGCTGATGAGCTTCTCGAGGAGGGCCTGGATGTTGGCGACCTTGCTGGCGGGGAACTCAAACTCGACGACGGGCACGCGCGCCGCCTTGAGGTGCGACAGGAAGCCCACCTCGCTGGGGTGCAGGAAGAGGAGGGACTTGCCCTTGGCGTTGGCGCGGGCGGTACGGCCGACACGGTGAATCTGGACTCGTCAGTATGCATGCCACTGGGGGTCTTGTGCTTGGTGGGGAGAACTCACGTAGTCGGTGGGCGCATCAGGGGGGTCGAACGAGACGGACCAGTCGACGGAGGGGATCTGGGCGTGTCAGCAGTCTGTCTGGGATGGCACAATGTCATGTTACATACATCAAGGCCACGGGCAGCAACGTCAGTGCAGATGAGGGTGCCCTGCTTGGCATTGCAGAACTCGAAAAAGGTGTTCGTGCGAGCCTGCTGCTTCATCTTGCCGTGAAGACCTACGGGTCGTTAGCAAGTTGACCACATGACAATGTTCCAGGAGGGAGAGGATGACGTACTCAGAACAGGGAGGTCGATGTAGTTCAGCAGCTCGGCATGGTACTTGACCGAGTTGCAGCTGCTGAAGAAGACAATGACCTTCTTCTTCAGGTTCCTCTTCAGGAAGGAGAACAGCAGCAGGAAGCGCTTGTCCTCGTCGCAGATGACGTAGCCCTGCTCGAGGCCCTCGACGGTGCTGTGCTCCTTGGTCTGGTCGACGTTGATGTACAGCGGTCCGGCGCGGAGCGATATCCGCGCGAGGTCCTCCACCTTGGTCGTCTGGGTCGCCGAGAAGAGGGACGTCTGCCTGTCGGCGCTGGGCAGGATCTTGACAATCTGGCGCATCTCGTCCTCGAAACCAATCTCGAGGATGCGGTCGGCCTCGTCAATGATGAGGGTCTTGAGGTTCTTGAAGACAAAGGGCGTGTTCTGCAGGTGATCGAGCAGGCGGCCGGGCGTGGCGATGATGAGGTTGACGCCCTTGGCGAGCTTCTCGGCTTCAGCACGGCGGTTGGCGCCGCCAATGACGATGCCGTAGGTCTGAGAGTGGTGCTCCATGAGCTCGCGCGCGACGCCGAAGATCTGCAGGGCGAGTTCGCGGGTGGGGGACTGCCCATGTTAGCGATTGCTTGCATGCCAACGAGGGGATTCTCCCAAAACTTACCACGACGATGACACCAGTTCCGTTTCGGGGCTTGAAGCGCAGCGAGCTGAGCATCTCGATGGCGGGTATCAGGAACGCAAGCGTCTTGCCGGAGCCCGTCTTAGCCGCACCCAGGACATCGCGACCCGTCAGCAGGGGCGGGATACCTCTCCTCTGAATCTCCGTCATTTTTGTGAACCCCATGCCCTCTATCGCCTTCATCGTCTTCTCCGACAGGTTGAGCTGCGAGAAGTCCTGCGCCTCCTCGCCCGAGGGTGGCAGGGTCAGGGCCTCGCGGTTCGGGATCTCCAGGTCGGCATCTTGGTCGTTTGCTGCGGTCGCCACGTCTTCCTCATTGGCTTCGGCCTCTTCAGGATCTTCGTCCTCGTCCTCCTCGTCTTGCTCCTCCTCTTCGCTGCCAGACTCGAAGTTGTCCTCAGACTCCTCGGCAGCGTCCTTCGCCTGCTTCTGCTTCTTCGACTTTCGGGAGACGGCTACCGGAGCCTCAGTGGCCTTGCGGGCAGCAGCCTTGTCACCATTGGCGTCGCGGAGCTTGCGCTTCTTGTTGGAGGCGGCGTCGACCATTGTGCCGTTTGTGGTTTGTCGGGTTGTTGGGGTTGGGGGGTGTGTACCTCGAAAACGGTGTCAAGGCTCTCTGGGTCGGATTGAAGAGGTGGGATTTTTTTCTTATCGTCAGAAAAATTCTGGGACAGCGGGACTGTGGCAATGTGCACATTCCCCACAGCCCTGCTCAATTTAGCACATACTGGCTAACCAAAACATCAGTGCGAGCCTTGCCCTAGTGGCTTTAGTCTAGGTGGATCCCCACCACTTCCTCCTCAACGTGGTTGCCAGAACTCTAACCTTTTCTGGTTAAACAGGGTGCGCATCAGCGGCGCTTTAACCTTCGTGGAGAAGGCTGGCGATTAGATAAGATAAGAATACCATGTTCGCCCATCCGTGAACCTGTTGTCCATCCCCTCGGCGTCGTCACATCACGAAGTCAGGAGGTGTCAGCCTTCAAACAATGCACAAGTACGCACTCCTCAAGCAGAGAAACGGATGCCGTCAACTTTGAAATACCTCATGCAGCTTTTGCTTTCCTATTGCAGCTTCTCGCGTGGTTGTGATTCATCGCCAGATGGCCCCCCGAATGTAGTGGGGCAACACTCTGCGCTACCTTACCCCAAGTCCAGGACCTCAAGATCTGTTCACCTTGGGTGCTCAGGGCTATTTGAATACACCAACAATTGACTCAGCGTGACTTGGGAGCCATCAAAGTCCGGTGGTCATACGTCAACTTAGTTCATTCAAGAATAACGATACAAGTCGCAAGGCCGTCACGACTCACCCTGATCCCCGTGCCCTCAATTTTGAACCTGTTCCCCCTCCTCGTCCATGCAACTCCGCCACGGCCGAGCCGATCATACCAGCATGCCATCCTCAAAACGCCAATGAAGCAAAGAATTCGTCGTCACCACTCAAGGAGTGTGGATCAAATGACAAACTGGGTCCCGTGTGTCGATGCATATTCCTGGGTTCTTCATAGTCCTCTCTTTCGTCCTTGCCCCAAGTATCTCAGTGGCCGCGTTTCCTTCCATCAAAGCAGAACTAGATGGTCTCAGGCGTGGGGTTCTCGTGCTTTGCCGTGCTACCCTTGCCACGCCATGTGCTGACGGCGGGGATGTTGGCCTCATAGCGGACCTCCTCGGTGCCGTACGCGCGGGGAGTGAGCTTGATGAGGGTGTGCAGCGGCACGTTCATCCAGGGGCTTTGGGACTGGTCCTTCTTCATGAAGTAAGCGTAGATGCAACGCAGCACGGCTTGATGCGTAACGATGAGGATGTCCTCAGAGCGCTCGAGTTCCATGATGATGGGCTCCAGGCGGATCACCACGTCGCGGTACGACTCGCCGCCACGGTAGCGATAGTTGTACTTGTCCTCGTCGCGGGCCGCAAAGTCGTCAGGGTAGCGGTCCTTGATTTCCTGATAGGTCAGGCCGTCGCAGACGCCAGAGTCGAGCTCGTCGAGCGCCTTCCACTGGAGCTGGTTGTAGTGAGGCGGGTGGAAACGGGCTGTGGCGATGGTGCGCTTGAGGGTTGAGGTCCAGACCGTCAAGGGGCGGTCGTCGCCGACGGACTCACGCACGAGCTCGGGCAGTTTGCGAGCGTATTGCTCGCCGCGAGGCGACAGCATGGTATCGCCGCCAATGCGGCCGTCGAGGTTGTACAGCGACTCGCCGTGCTAAAGAAGTTGTCAGCCTGGGAGACACAATCACTGGGTTTTATTGGTAGCTCAAAGAAACTCACTCTTGATAGCCAGATGGAGCGCGGGCGGATGTGGAGGTTCATGAGATAATAGACAATGCGGCTCTGCAGGTAGTCCTGAATCCGGTTGATGATGACTTGCTTGCCGACATCCATAATCTTGAGGAACGTGTAGCTGTTCTCGTCACCATCTTCGTCGATCGACGTGTACACCTGCTCGTAATTGCGAATGCGGTTGCGAAAGTCGAGTGCCGCCTGCTCGGGGTCTTGGCCAGCGTAATCGGGCGAAGTGGCCTTGACGTCACGAATATTGGCCATGATGAGGTCTTCATCATCACACTTGCTCTCAACAAAGATGACTTCAACGCCCTCCTTCGTGCAGCGGTCCAAAACCCACTTGCGGCGCTCTTTCGTGGAGTTGGTCGCATCAAGAATGGCGACGGTGCCATTTTCCTTCTGGAACCAGGTCATCATGTCGGCAATGGCAGCCTCGGCGGCAGCGCGGCGCTTCTGCTCGCCCTCGCGGTTCTTGACGTCGAAGAAGTCGGCGGTGGGCTGAGCAGCCGTCTCACGGCGGTAGTTGCCGACATTGAATGTCTTGGCCTCTATCGAAAGCCATTTGAGATAGCGTTGCGCTGGCGAAAATGTCAGCGTCAGAGCCGTGGTAGAGGCGGATGTGTCTGGCTTGTCAAGTCTTACCCTTTTGGGCGATGAAGCTCTTTCCCCGGGCTGGCAAGCCCACCATGACCA